GTATTCTGAAAGCCATAGATTTTGAAAAATTGCATTCATTCTCCTACCTTATGGAGGCTCAATATTAGATAAAGATAAATGGGTTCATCATTAAGGAGTAAATGTCAGTACAATGGCTTAAAAAGTCCTTGCAGAAGTAATTTATATCAGACACAAACAACTTTAAAGTCATCTTTTGCCAGAAAGAAACTAAGCTGAAAATATTTGTTATACCTTGGCCAGGAAGTCTACTCTAGGAATACATGAAGGGAGGATTTAAAAACTCTGTAATCAGGGCTGAAGAAATCACATGGGGGCTATCCACAAAAGCCTTGCGTACCCCAAACATCATCCCCCAAAGGACCACAATGACATGGTTATTCACTTACATTGGCCAGCCCACAGTGACATAGCAAACCGAGCACCCCGTGTTGGGAATAAGCTTCCCAGAAACTGTGTGGAACGAGTTGGGCGTTGCCTCATGACAATTTTCTATGAGTCCTTTTGAATAGGCCCTGTGTCAAATATATGAATTATGCAGATCCATTAGGCTGCAGAGTAGAGCCTGAGGTATTCCCACTTTCAACGCACTCCTAATCTTTAAGCGTGTGAAGACACATGATGACCAAGGTCATTTTCTAGAAGATTTAGTATTTCATGTGCTGGTTTCAGGCTCAGAATAATCGCTGATCCCCTTGTAAATGAGTGCTTCATAGGAACACCACCTCTATTTGTTCACCAGCTTAGAACATTTGCCAACACATTCAATACTAATCCAACACTCACTGTGTCTTAACCCCTGGTGCTTTCTGTCTACTTATTAGATCATTTAATGGTCAACATGGGTATGGCCATATACCCATAGCCTGTGAAAGGCAGAGGGAAATAGAGGCAAGATGGATTGCAACCTCCTCTAGAGTCGCCTCTTCCAGGTGGAGACTAACATGTGATATGCATTAAGAAATTATCTTCAAGACTAATTTTAAGGGGTGGTTTAAATTTTCTCAATACTGTGACCAAGTACAACCTAGTTCTTTAAAAGTAGAAGGGCTCATTTAATGAATCTCGGCCCATCAGGAGTATTACAAATGCTGTGGGGGAAAGCAAATTGATTTAAACTTCCCTATCAACACTGGCTCTAATACCACACTTGATAAGTAAACCACCCAGCTATTATTACTCTTTTTCAGAGTAAGAGAAAGAGTTAATGCAGAATCTCAGCGTTACCAAGCTTGCTTCTGATAAAAATGACCATCATTCTGGTAACGCGTTTTAATGTGCATTAGACGCTGAACTCTTTTTAATTAACTGGATGCCTCTACCAGGGAGGAGCTGAGAAAGGAGTCTAAAAAATGGTTGCTTATTAAGCACGGCAGGTCATACCAAGAGATCAATGTATGTCAACACTTCAAGCTTGGACTCTCAGTGCTCCCAATTTGTAGCATTTGGGGGTTTCTGTCTTTCCTTGTTTTTGGCTTCCTTTGTTTTGCATCCCTCTGCTTTTCTCAGTGAAACATGGCAAGCATGTCCTGAGTTGGGCTGCATGTTCCTTACTCCTCCTCTTCCTCTATTACTGGGGGTAAGAAAAGGAGGCATTTCATAAGTCTCCCCCATGGCTGGTGGGCCCACTGCTAGTTCAAAAGCTGCCACTTGCAGGTATATTTCAAACAAACATATAACTTCTGTGTCGGTTGCATTTTCCCTTCTAAGAATCATTTGAATGTTATTGGTCTAAATGGGCTTCACAAGGAAAGCTCATTTCAGGTGCAAACGGATGTATTTGGGGACTTCGACTTTCCACTTTGTCATGCTTCTCAGCCAACTTATCTGCAGCTGTGTTCATTTTTTTTAATTACCTAGGTGGTCTAGCCATTCCCAAACTTCCACCTCGAGTGTCACCTCAGCCCTTTCCAGTGAACCAAAGAGTATGCAGAAAATCATGCTGGGGCGCGCACGCGTGCAAGGAAAGTGAGAATTCTCTACCTTTGTACACCAATCAATCAATTTAGCTGGAATTTCTTTTTATATGTTGCATCAATGGCAAACCAGATACTGGGAAGCATTGGTATCACTGAGCTCTGGTGGCATCTTTATTTTGACTTGATGTTTCAAAGACTGAAAGCTAAAGGAATGGACTTGTTTGTGATCAATGTAAGAAGCAGCCTTCAGTTAGCCCCGTCAGTATGCATCTCCTTCTAGGCTGGCTTGTTGTCATCACAGCCCCATCTTAGTAGCTGCACAAGTGGAAATAAAACAGTCTCCAGTTTCAAGCACATAATTAGCTTGGAGTCACAAAGGCACAGCCTGTGAAGAAGGGAGGTGATAGAGTGTTAGATGGGGGAATACTAACGAAAAGCTGACTTTTTTTTTTTTGGAAGCCCTTGAAGATCATTCCTGCCTAGGAATTAGGAGTCTGTTGTAGAGTGTACCAATCAAAGAGAACCCATCTGGACAGTGGGAGGAGGTAAAGAGGTGGATGTGGAATGCACCTGGCTCTGCATCTCCTGGCCATCACGGCATGATCTGGGCAGGTTACATCCTCACCCAAGTCTTGCTTTTCTCATCTGTATAATGGGAGGTAACGCCCTTTCCCTTATGGAGTGGTTGTGAACAGGAAAGGCGCTAAGTCACGGAAAGTGCTTAGCACAGAGCCAGGCTTCCTTACTAAATGCTAAATAAAATATGAGAGGATGAATACACTTGGCCCACTGAAACTACTACTGCATTCCAGAGGATCTTATTAGAAGAAGGTAAATAATCAGAAAACAAATGGCATTTTTTTGTTCTAGTTCCAAGAATAAGTGATCTCATTGTGATATTAAAACAAACAAACAAACAAACAAAAAACCAACATTTGAATCATTTTCTCTCCCCAACCTGGTACCGTCTTAAAGGCCTCGGAATAGACACAGCTTTTCGGGTTATAGCACTCTGGACCTTTCAGAAGTAAATCCTGTTAGCATGCTTTTGAACGTGATGTTTTTAGGGATCCCGAATACCAACCCTAATCAGATGCAGGCTCCTAGCCTTGAAGGCACTTTATCCCCCATGGACCATATTACAATCATGCTACGAGCAAGTGTGGACCCTTCACTTTCTTGCAACCTGGAGAGAATGAGAAAGCTGCTTTAACGTGCAGGCAGCCCTGAGCTCAACCTGCATTAATTTAGGTTATGGACTAGCTCACGATGGTGTTGAGCACTGTTGACAGTGAATGACTTGATACAGGAGCCTGGCACCGTGGCTGTCAGGAAGGAGAATGATGACTGAAAAGGTTAAGTGCTACTGTGGGGTTGGGGGGGTGTCAGGGGAAGGGACATTCAATGTGGTGAGTGAGTTCACATAGCAGTCATTGCCAACAGCCCCAGGATTAAGGTTCCCGCTGCCCTTTAAATATCAAAGTGCTCAGGAGCACTTGATTCCTCGCAAGAGTTTATAGTATCTTACGACTGATTGTGATCAATAATAAGACAGTATAATAAATTCATTAGGATTTGGGGGTTTATCCACTTTTGAAACTGAGCTAGATAAATCGGTATTCATTCTACTTGTCAGAAGGGAGTGTTTTCCTTCCAGTTTGCAAAGGGTGTATCATCGGGGTGGTAGGGGGGTACAGTGGAGAGGAAGAAGGGTATACTTTACCTAAAAGGGAGCATGTGCAGAAACTCCACATCGTTTCCATGATCTACCTGAAGACTCCTTCAGGACTTGCAAATTGGCTAGCCTGAAAAGAACCTATGCCTGAAAGGTCCACACATAGTCCCAATTGTACTTTCAATATCTCTAGAAAAATATGAGGGTGGCTTCAAAAATTTCATGGAAAAATCCCGTGATCTTTTAATACAATTTTTCTTGAATTTCTGAAGCCCCCCCAGCTCCTATAGCCAGCCTCTCCCCCCACTGCTGCTTCCCCTGAACCCATGCCTTTAACTTTGATTCTGACAGACTTTCTAGCAGCTTCCCCATGAGAAAGACAATGGAGATTTGCTGATTGTATAACAGAACGAGAAGATTGAAACACCCGATTGTTTCCTTTCCAGCAATTACTTAATCAACTTATCACTGTCTAGAATAATTGATTAATAGCCTTTATTCTAGACTTTGAATTAACAACAAAGAATTCAGACCATCTTTTTTCCCTCTCTGGGGGGAAAAAACCCGAGGTTGTTTTTGTTAACCAGGTAAGGCACTTCAATTTACTTGCAGTGGCAGCCAGAGAGTCATTTTTGCAGTCGTGAGAATTTAATATCAGCAACTTTTCTCTTCATCAGCTTTAGACACAGAAACACGAGAGCCAGAACCGAGCAATTGACAGACAGTATCACACATCCACAGTGTAAGGAAAAGACAGAAGAGAAGCCACAGCTACTTGTGATTACTGCTCTTCACGGAACGGAGAAATGGCTCACTAGAGATTTCCTTGACTGATCTGAATGCTTTTCATACCTACAGTTGCTGTTTTTAAAAAGGTACATGCACCTGACTATAGAGAAAGTGCATCTCATTCATCTTAATTCGACACCAGATATTAAGAAATCAGCTCACAGCTTTCGGCACTGCAGGCGACGTTTGGTGGTTATTTATGGAGTTTAAAATATTCTTGCTCCACCACTTATGAAGAAACTTTAATGAAAATGACAAGCAGGTTTCGTAACATAATGAATGTACTGACACCATACACATACCCAAAGAACGTGGGGGAGAAAGGCACTTTTCATTCGTATAAAACCAAATATAAGTTTGTTCAAATAGTTTCCATGCAATGCTAAAAGAAACCTGGCTTACACTTCAAGAGCTAAGGTGAACATGCTAGCCCACAACACAGCCTCCCTGGTTTCAACCTCGGACCACGAGAAAGCCAGGCAGACACAGCCCTGAACAGCAGCAGCAAAAGATAAAAGATACTCTCCCTGAAGATTTCAAAAATAATATTTGGAAATAAAAGGCATAGAGTAACCCACATGCACCTATGCAAACACACACAGAGAACTAAGTGTAAATCAAGATAGATATAAACTTACCGGAGCAAATATCACCATACACATTTACAAAAGAATTGATAATTCAACTTCCCTCTCCTGAAAGAAAATAGAGGCTGTCTCATACTAAAAATAAAGCTTCTCTGTCCACAGCACCAGCCACTTGTCCCTCTTTTTATGAAGCAAAGGAGGAGAACAAGAAAATCAATGCAGAGGGAAAGTGAGATGTTATACCAATCAGGTAGCAGCTTCTGTCTTATTTGCAGAGAGATGGCAAAACGGTCATATTATTCGACAGTGACAACCCACAGCCCAAGGAGCGGAATCTGACACTTCCCTCTGGTGAAGCGTTTGCCTGCTTTGTAGGGAGGTAGCTCCCACTCTTGGCTCTTTGCTCACAACTCCAAGTGCAGGACTCTGCCTTCCACAAACAGCCAGCCTGCCTCATCCCCAGAGCACCAGCTCCCCTCCTAGTCCGCCAGCCCCCTCCTCTCTCCAAGCCAGCACTGAAAAGCAAACTAGCAAGCAAAATGGAGCCAGGTTTTTGTGTGTGTTAGAGGGTACAGAGGGACGGTAGTAGTTTTAGAAAATCCTTATGAATTTATTTGCATAGATTAGGTAAATATTGATACATTTTTTTTCAAATGGCCTCATTTTTATCAAAGTGTTAGGATGTTAGGCTTGCTTCTTATTTGGGAAATCCATACAGTCATTGTCTATAAATAATAATTAGAGAGGTGCTGCTGGAGGCTGATGTTATGGGTTCTGGCTCTGTAGATGGGACAAAGGGTTGCATGTTAGGAGTGTTACTTAAAGTTCTTCACTGGGAAAACCTCAGAAGTAAACAGGTTTCAGAAGTTAACATGTGGTCTGGATCTGATTCTTCTATCCGTGAGCCTCAACAGGAAGGGACTGCGTTTGACCAATTCAAGTGGCTGGAATCGTGACACTCTATAGCCACTTGATATGTCTCCTGGCTTTCATTTTGTATTGGCACCAAATTTACGAAGAAGCTGTGCACAGGCTACATGATCATTCCAGACTGGCTCCTGGGGGAAATTTCTGGAAGGGTTTAAATGACAAAAACAGAGAAACGCGCGTGCCTCTTTCCCACACATTCCCACACAGCATGGGAATACTGACTGGCCTTGGATGGCCTCAGGTGCCTTGGCTGTAGTTTTTATGTATTGGGATCCATAGGGTTTTGTGTTTAGTAGAGAGCCAATGCAAATGAAGAAAGCCACTGTACGCTGGGTTGGCACAATAGCATCAAAAACTGGGTTCAAATGAACCAACACTTGCATAGATGACTCAAGCCTGAGCGATGTTTCATTCTGCCATATTCAAGGGGGAGGTCAAAAAAGCTCATAGACGAATTCTATTCTATTTCATTCCATTTTTCCACAAAATTTTTGAAGCCTCTTCACATAAGGTTGCCACAAGTTGGAATCAACTGGATGACAGCTAATCAGAGCAATATTCATTTGGAATCTGTGGGATCTGCTCCCGTCTTCTCAGAGTCAGTCTCTGTCTCATGCTCACCGCACACTGCTACAACGGCCACCACACCCTCGTCACCTTCTTCAGCTCTCCTTGTCTTCCCTTCTCCGGCTGTACACCGAAGAACACTGCTCCATGGAGGAGCAGAGGGACAGGTAATGGAGAGGCAGGAGAGGAGGTTAAAACTCTCTGCCACTGAGTCATAGCAATCCCCTGTGGGCTTCCTCGGGGACTGGAATGATCTACAGGAGGAGAAAGCCCAGTCTTTCTCCGAGGAGCTGCTGGTGGTTTTGAATTGACAAGTGAGCCAACAGGTAGAACAAAGAATGAGCTAGGTGACCTGGATTCCTGCTCTCTATTTACTTGCTACCTGTTTATCTTTGGGAGGCCCCTTAATGTCCTCGCACCTTACATTGCCCTTTGTGAAATGGTATAATAACACTCCATAGAGCTTTCCGTGGGAACACGTGCAGAACAAATGTGAAATGGCTGGGAAATCTACTGTTCTCACTTATGGACTGGGCTCTGGATCCTCTTCCTCTCCCTCCTCCTTTAATCTGCTAGTTCTTCATGCATAAGCCTTCAGGGGACTTACTAACTCTTCAAACACCATCTATCCCTGTGGTCCCTTTGAAATTCTAATAGGAACCAGATTCCCCCCATCACCACCACCCCTCATCTGCCTATGGAAAAATCACTGCATCTCAATAAAAGAAGTCACTCTTGGGAGCAAATTAAGGGAGTGAGCATGGTTGAAGCAGAAATAAAGGAAGAGACCAGGAGGGGTAAGCCCTCAGTAAGTATTGGCTGAATAAATGAATGAAAGTATGACTGAATGAATCATGTCTCTGAACTGCAGGCTGTTGCTCCTGCCAGGCAGCTGGCTGATAAAGAGAAGGGTTAGAGTTTGCAGTTTCCTTTTGCACCTACAGAGGAGAATTGTACTGGAGAGTTTTCTCAGGGTTGAACATGAGCGGTTCCTAGCGGTTTTGAATAGTGAGACCCTCACTTCAAGTATTTAAGAAAAGCTTTATCTTCCCACATTAGTATTTTAATTCCACTTTTGTCATTGATTTCAGCATCACACCCACAGGGAAGACATCACATCAGGAAACACTGAAACATGGGTGGTGGTTTTCCATTGCAGGGATGCGGAAACCAAGGCCCAAAGCATAAAGTAACTTACCCAAAGGCACACACTTGGGAAGCTTAATGATTGGTAAAACCAAGATTTGAACTCGATCTTATGCCAAAATCCAGGAGCTTAGCCAGTTTGCTCTGGATACCAGGTGATGGCACTTAGACTTTTACATGCTCAATCTACAGCACATGACTAATCCATCTGTGGCTCCCAACCACTACAATGGCCCCCGGTTCTCCCTACTGCACAGATGCACACTGTAAAGACTGGGAACCCTGAGCACAAGCAGAAGGTCGACCAAGCAAGCTGATGGGGGTTAGCTGTTGGGCTTCTAACCACAAGTTTGACAGTGCAAATCCATTAGTCAAAAGTTGAGGCTGTCTGCTTCCATAAAAGTTTACAATCTCAGAAAGCCTATGTGAGTTGGAATTGATTAGATAAGATGGCAGTGGAACTAAGCAAGCCAGAACCTTGGACAGAGTCCACTGTAGTCTGTATAGTCTTGGGAAATGTATTCAACTCCTTGGCAGTGGGAGACACGAGACCCAGTTTGGGGTTTGCTGTTGGGGTTCTCTATGACCTTGGCTGTGTTCTTTAATTTATCCATTCTTCACTTTTTTCTTCATTTTAAATGGATGGGCCCCTATAACATGACCTTTAAGGGCTTCCTGGGTTGCCTCCGACTACATAAAGTTCTAAGATTTTTAGGTTGATTCTAACCCTATAGGTGGATTAGATTTTCCTGCCTTGCATTTTGTTTCAGAACAAGGCAGAGGACCCAGGGGACATCCTTTGTTAGCTTTTTATGCATGTATCCTGCTATCAACCCACTGACATTATCTACTGCCTGCATCTCTGTAATGGACTCCCGGAAGTTCACTCTACTTTAACTCTCAACCCTGTTTGTAATTTTACACAGATTGAGTAGAAGCCCTGGCAGTGTAATGGTAATGCATTGGGCTGATAACCTAAGGTCAGTAGTTCGAAACCACTGGAAGAAACAGGAGGCTTCTACTCCTGTAAACAATTACAGTCTTACAAACCCATACGGGCAGTTCTACCCTGCTCTATAGGGTCACTATAAGTCAGAATTGACTCAATGTCAGTGAGTTTTAGAGTAGAAGTGACCCAGATTGAATATTTTAAGTTATCAGTTAGATCATATCACTCATCTGAGAAAACTACTTCAATAGTTGCGCACCAGACTTAAAATGCAGCCTATGTTTCACCGCACATGAAAATCTTGTGTGATCTGCCTCCCACCTTTTATGGTTTTATCTCATTCTGATCCTTCCCTTCTAAGCTCTATAGAACACTGAGAGAACACTGGCCTATAGTGTTCATTCACTATTCATTCACCCTGAAACATTTTTTCCTCAGATCTTTGTCTACTGTTTCCTCCTTTGTTATTCAATCCATAGTACTATTGTCTGCTCTTTATAGGACTCCCCTTCCCTGATTGTTCAATTTTCACATGCACACACACACACACCTACCCTTCCCTGATCATTCAATCTGCCCCCACCCCCCCCACACACACACACGACTACCTTTCCCTGATCATTCAATTTTCACACACACACACACACACACACACACACACACACACACACACACACTCCCTTGCTTCCCAGTTGCTGCCATTCACTACCCTGTCTCTCTCTGTATAATTTTAATTGTGTGATGGGTTCTTACTTACTTGGGGTTTTTTTTTCCTTATTACTTCCCATCACTAGGAATTAATCACCATAAAGGCAGGAAATTGTTTCTGAACTGTATTCACATTGTTTAGGAGAATACCTGGCACAAAGTAGGTGTTCAATGAACACATAGTGGGGAAAAAAGTGGATAAATGAACCAATCTGAGAGCAAGTTAGACTTGAGATACAGATAAAAACATCAAGATATACCAGAGAGCTTATTCTTAAAATACAGGAGAGATGAGCAAAGTTGATTGATTAAGCCCTATTATGGAACTTCCTCATTCAGATGGCATTCTTGCTGCAGATGCAGCATCAAACGGATTGAAGCGGAGGCTACTCTAACCATGGTGGAGAGGCCCTTTGCTAAGCCATATTGATCCATTGCTTATTACAAACTTGGGTTTCCCAGAGTTGGTTCGCTGACCCGCATACAGCAACTAATATTTGGACACCTGACCATATATCTAGCGTCAGAGAGCAAAGAGTCTGGTCAGTGAGCCACACAGACTGTCCTCACCTTCCAGTAGATCTGACAGTTCAGACAGTTGGCTACCACTCTCTAACATGTCATTGGAACTGATAAAAATAAAGCAATGTGCCATTATTTGATGGTTCTTGTTTGGAAAATGATATTAGCATTGTTGCCACTGCATTAAAAATAACAGTTATTATTAGACTGTTAAAAATAGAAGTCCTATGTTCTCCAAGCTGAGTATTTATAAAGAAGGTTAAGTAGATTAAAATAATCTGTGATTCTGTAAAACCACATTAGCAATGTTAATTTTCAATATGGTCAGATCTTCAACTCTGATCTTTCCATTGCTGTAATCTTTCAACTGAGCATGACCTTCAGACAACTTCAAAGGATTTTTTCCCCCTTTTCTGCGTTGAAGAGGATTGCCTTCCCTTTGGTGGCAGTGCCTCCTGGTTAATGCAACAAACAGTTCCTTCCCCTTATAGCTTCCATTTCAAAGCAGCTGGCCTCTCACAGGGGCTCCTTCAGACCTATCAGCTTCAGGGT